AAAAAAAAAGTGAATCCATAGTTGTACTCAGGGTTTAAAACTAAGTCTTCAGGTTCAGTATTTTTATCAATTAGGCTTTTCCTGCTCTCCGGAGCTGATTGCTTTATTTTGTTCTTCAAGGATGTTCTGTTTATTTTCCAACAGCTTTTAATTTTTTTCTGTGAGCTGCCTAATGTTACGGTACATAAACCGGGTGGCTAGTAAGTCTTTTTAAATCAATAAATAAATTAGGTTCATGTTTTCAAACCCAAATAGTCACAACAGAATGAGAAAACTTAAAATGGAGACATCCATGGTTCCTAAAAAAAATAAAATGGTACCACTGCAATCACCATTGAAGGATTATGTAAAGGATTAAGAAAGATTCTTAGATAAATAAATAATACGTCTAATATTTTTTCCAACAGTGTGTGAGTTCCCAGTGAGCGTATTCCCAACAGAGGCTTCTGCAAGATGTCTATTGAAAGGGAACTACCTGATGGTCCTTTTACCTGAGCAACTGGTCCTGAAGGATGTGCATTCTGGACAAATTCACTATAGCTGGCCTTATACCTTCCTCCGAAGATTTGGCCAGGAAAAGGTAAGTAGCTGCTTCATTCTTCTCTTTCTCTTTGTTTACGGAAGAAAAGACTTTAGAGCATCACACATGGAGGATTTCCTCACTTGTTGTAGCACATGAGAGAGTTGTCAGTCCTCCAAGTAGACCAGACTAGGAAATCAAAGTTATGCATGCTAATGCGACTTTTATTGTAGGGTTGCATTAACCGAATCTTACAAGTCTGAATGTGCCTCCCTCTTCTCTTCCTCTATCTTCAAGAGAACTGGAAATGGTCAACTCTGAGGTGCTTTCTCAATTCACATTTCTATTTCAGACTCAGTTTTATTTTATTTTATTTGACCATTACCTTGGTTGCAGCTCTTCCTCCAGTTTATTCACATTTCTATTTCAGACTCAGTTTTATTTTATTTTATTTGACCATTACCTTGGTTGCAGCTCTTCCTCCAGTTTATTCTTACTGCCCATTGTAAGAGGGCCATCGGTTTCTGTGAAGGTTACTGACGCCCTAATCAGGTCATGAGGCCATCAGCATGTTTCAAAATAACCAAAGCTGCACCTTTACAGCTATACAGGTAGTCTTCGACTTACAACAGTTCATTTAGTGACTGTTTGAAGTTACAGCGGCACTGAAAAAAGTGACTTGTGACCATTTTTCACACTTATGACCATTGCAGCGTCCCCACGGTCACGTGATTTGCATTTGGATGCTTGATGACTGGTTCATATTTATGATGGTTGCAGTGTCCTGGGATCATGTGGTCCCCTTTTGTGACCTGACAGGCAAAGTCAATGGGGAAGCCAGATTTCCTTAACAACCAGGTTACTAATTTAACAACTGCAGTGATTCACTTAACAAATGTGACAAGAAAAATCATAAAATGGAGCAAAACTCACTTAACTAATTTGTCACTTAGCCACATAAATTCTGGGTTCAATTGTGGTCATAAGTCGAGAACTAATAATAATAATAATGATGATGATGATGATGATGATGATGATGATGTTGGAAGCGGCCCTGGAGGTCATCTAGTCCAACCCCCTGCTCAGGCAGGAAACCCTATGCCATTTCAGACAAATGGCTGTCCAGTCTCTTCTTAAAAACTTCCAGTGTTGAAACAGTCACCGCTTCTGGAGGCAGGTAGTTCCACTGGTTAATTGTTCTACCTGTACTCATCAAAAGATGCTTCTCACAGGAAGTTTGCCCTGCAGAACACCAGAACTTTTTTTCCCTAAGCACTGAAATATGGAAATTAACAACAGAAATGGGAAGAAGGTCAAACAGGAAGTGCCATGGCAAGGCAAGACCCAGCCCTGCCTGCGATGAACCTTCGACAGGCAGCTGAGGTGGCCGACATTGAGAAATCCTACCAGTGATGGGAAAGTACTGGACTAAACGACAGCGAACACAGAGGCACTGATTATGGAAGCATAAGAACAGGCACTCAGCACCAGATCCATAGAAGCAGGGGTCCTCCACACTAGAACAAGACTGAGGCACAGACAATGCAGAGAGGCCACAGAGGCAGTCCAGCACAACATAGTGGCAGGATATGAGATGTAGGCAGGAACAGCATATACTGAACAGCTGGCATTGTGTGCAAAAGCATCTGCCTAGGGTATGGGTTAGACCCTCCCAAGTCTAGATGAGAGACTCCACAGAAGGTCATGGAGAATAGCAGGGCCAAGATCTTGAGATCCAGATTGGCAAGCAGGTACTGGCCAATTAGGCATCATGATAGTAGAGAAGGAGCAGAAGACAGCAGTGATGATAGATGTAACTGTGCCAAATGACAGGAATATCATGAAGGAGGAGTATGAGAAGCTGGAGAAGTGCCAGGGCCTGAAGAAGCAACTGGAGAGGATATGGAAAGTAAAGGCCAAAGTGGTCGCGGTGGTAGTTTGAGCACTGGGGGCTGTGACTCTTAAACTGGGAGAGTGGCTCCAACAGGAACAAAATCAGAAGAGTGCAGTGCCAGGAATAGCTAAAATATCATGCAGAACCCTTAAACTCCCAGGCTTCTGATAGAGGATCTGAGATTGAGTAAGATATACGTCCCACATAGGGCTGAGATGGGATTTTTAAAAATATAATATCAATGATCTGATTCCACATACAACAGATGCTAATTTAGCAGCTGATACTTTATGGATCTGTTTTCATGGATTTGAGATGAGATTGAGCATTATATGATCATCTTTGTAGTTGTTGGCAAAATTGAACAAAGAAAATCATGATGACATATAAAGCTGCATATGACAGGGGTCCCCAACCCCTGGGCCGTGGCCCACTACCGGCTGTGGCCTGTTTGGAAACAGGCTGTGCAAGTGGCTGGCCACGTGCGCACACAGCTCAATTTTCCCACCGCTTACACAGGCCGGTATATGACATAGTTCCTGGTTATATGAGAGACTTCTGGTGTCAGCCTGACTAATTTAATCCATTAGGGTCCTGATTCCTTTGATCAGTGCCATCTATAGTGACCCTGGAAGCATTATCTTCTATATTGTGGCACCTTCCTTCTGGAATGAGATTCCTCATGAGATCTAGATAGCTCCCATCCTGATAGTGTTCCAGAGGGTTTTTAAAGGCCTGGCTTTTCTCTAGGTTCTGGGCTAGGTGACTTACTTGGTGTATGATTTTTAGTTTTAGTTTTTTGTTTTGCTTTGTAGACCAAATTTGCCCTCTTACTTAGTTTTCTGTTTTTATTGTATGTTTGCTGTTTTGTTTTTATGGTTTCATGTGCCCTGAGTTGATTGGAGTCAAGCGGCACTTAAGTCAAATAAATAATTGATAGTTTGGTTGCTAGCAATTACTCTACAAGAATAACTGTTGAAGTTTTCTTTTTTCTTCTCTCTCCCCAGACTGTCTTCTCTTTTGAGGCAGGTCGCCGCTGTGATTCAGGAGAGGGCCTCTTCACTTTTAATACTTCACAGGCTGCAGAAATATGCAAGGCTGTCTCGGCTGCAATAGAACATCAGAAGGCCATCCTTCTGGAGAACAATAAGAAAGCTGGGATTTCTCAAGCTCAAGACTGTATGCAGAAAGCTGGGGCGTGGTCCTGGCCCACTGGCACAGAGAGTTTGGAGGAAATGCAACCACTTCCAAAGGGGAGTATGGAAATTAGCCTCTCTAGCGAAAACCACTCTGTTTCCCCAGAGCTTGAGTCTCCTGAAACACCCATCATCTATGCTTCCATTGGCAAGAGCTTTCCTCTCATGTTTCAGCCTTGGGGCAAGACAGAGGCCGAATCCCAAGAGCTAGGAGCACAGCTCTCAGACCATCTCTACGAGAACCTGCACGATCTGGAACAGCGTCCCTCCGGCTCAGAATGTCTTGGCTTCAGCTACAGAGACTCCCCTGAGGGCAGCAACAACCGTGACCAATTATCCATTTACGACAGTCCTAAAACACTCAAGCGCTTGAGCGGCCATCTTAGCTCAAGTCCAAGGGCGGACTCCTCTCCGGACAGACAGTGTCCATCTCATCTGCTAGATGGTCAGGAGACTGCAAGTAGAGGTGAAAGGAGTGGTAGGCCCAAGGCAAGAGGAGCTGGTGCGTTCAGACACAAGCTGGTTACCATGCTTAGTAGAGAAGGAGGTAAAAACAAGAACTCTAGTCATGTGGACAAGCCTTAATAAACTCCTCCAGCTGAGAGGCCAAGCCCCAAGGCCTGACTTTCTTTCGATCTGCATATCTTTTGTTTGTCTTGCCTCATAGCTATAACATCCAAGCAGGGATAATCTCTGCACGGTGATGGTTTGGATGGAGATAAAGTCCTCCAGGCCTGTTCCGTTCTTTGAAGGCTAAGAGGATATCTGATTGTTTTTGTTTTGCAATACCATGATCTCAGGCAATCAATAATAATATTTGTCATCTTAATTGTGTGTTGCTGTAGAATCTTGATTCTCTTCACTCCTTTCCAACTATTACAGATCATTTCCCTATATTGCTGGTACTAGAACTATCGGTTGTAATATTTCCACATGTACTGAAGATGATAACTCAGTGATGAAAGCCTTGGGTTTCTTCCATTCCTGCTTTAATGATCCAAGATTGTACAAATGGGAAAAAAATAAGACTTGGGGAAATTATTGTTAGTTCATACAGGGATAGAGACAGTGGTTTAGATATAAATATTTACACTATTTAATCTATAGCTTTAATATAGCTTAACATTTAACCTATAATGTAATATATTAATAGCTTAATATTCAAGCTTTTACTGTAAATATATAGCTTTATTATATATAGCTACTAAATACATAGCTACTCTGAGTATGTACAGTACATTTCTCATAATTGCTTGGTCCTGCTCTTTTATTTCCACTAGAGTGCAGTGTCTTGCTTGCATTTAAGAGCTCAGCTTGAGAAGAGATCTTTGCTCCATAAGACACTAGGTGGCTGAATGGATGTGGATCTGATAGGATGCCCATTTTCTTAAACCCTATAGAGTGTTAGAATGCAGACAACAGAGATCTGGATTTAGAAGCTGTTTCCCTTCTGTTGTTCCTCAGTTACTGGAATGGCATTTACTCTGAAAATTGAGCCTCAGACATTTTAAGACAACAGTATTATGCATTGGGGAAAACCAAAGCAATAGTTACAATATGCCAAGATAGATCATTCAGTAGTGCAATTTAACTTCATATGTAACTTGAAGCCACTGTGCGACTTGCTTATTTCTGAGATAATGTGATACATGGAAATTGCATAGATGCCCTTGGTCTGCTCATAAATAATTGCAATTTAATTGGTTAGTGTATTAAGTACTTAATATAACTACTGCAACTAATTATCCATAATAAACAAAAGCACGTCAAAATTGCTAAACAATCCAAACAGCTATTATCAAGATTAACAATTGCATCCAGAAAGCTTGGCCTCCTGGCAACAGTAATAACAGGGTCTCAAAGTCAACTTTCTCTTTTATATATATATAATTTTTATTGAAAGTTTTAATAATGATAACTAATGCAATCTAAAATATAACAGAGAACATGAAAAGGAAAGAGAAATAAAAGAAAAAGCTAAAAATACAAGAAAAAAGCAAAAAAGTAGGGAAAAAAAGATATAAGGAAGCATCTTCCAATATTCTTCATAGAAGTATAATTATACTTTAACCCCTCGCTATAGTTACATCATGACTTTCTTCTTTTTATAATCTATCCTGTCTAATCATCAAAACCATAAATCACTTTCATTTTTACTCAAAAAGTCCGTAAGAGGTTTCCAGTCATCAATAAATGTAAATATTGTCCTTTCTGTAATCAAAGAAATCTATTTATCCCTCTCAGCAAATTCTGTTGCTTTCACCAACCATTCCTCCATGGTGGGTAAGGCGAAATCTTTCCATCTTGGTGTATATGGTACCACACTAATCATATATTGAAATAATCTTCCATCTAAACCAGTTTTCTCCACATGCCTAGAGGAAGAAAACATCTAAGAACTGGTAATTCTAAGAGAAATTGTTTTTATGAATTTGATTTTATAATTGCCTGACCTCTTATACTTCTTGCTATTCATTTGGATGAGAACATCCCATTAGCTTTCTCTTTAGAAAAATAATAGTTTTACAGTGTCTTTTGATTAATAAGTTGGAACACCAGCACTTCACTTCGACAGTGCAAAAGATCAGAAAGAAAAAAAGGCAAGTATTGTGAAGCACTGTGAGAGAGAGTTGTCATGTAGATGTTTGGTTATGTGAAAAGCTCTTAAGATTATCACTCTTATACAAAAAAAGAGGAATCTTGGCTTTTAGGTTTATGAATTCACCTTTTTTCTTAATGGAACCCTAATAGAGAGCCAGGTTAGTCTAGTGATTAAGGCACCAAGTTAGAAAGCTGGAGACCGTAAGTTCTAGTCCCGCTTTGGCCTTGTCTTTGGGTGACTTTGGGCCAGTCACTATTAATCCAACTCACTTCACAGAGTTGTTGTAGGGAAAATAGGAGGAGGAAGGTGTGTTGAATATGTTTGCTGCCTTGAATTATTTGTAAGGATAATAAAGGCAGAATACAAATAAATAAATAGCTATCAACCTGAGCCTAATAAATAGGACATACATTCAGAAGAAAAGATTTGAGCCTATGAATTAGAGCAGGGGTCTTCAAACTTGGCCCTTTTATGACTTGTGAACTTCAACTCCCAGAATTCCTCAGCCAGGGTGCCTGGCTGAGGAATTCTGGGAGTTGAAGTCCACAAGTCATAAAAGGGCCAAGTTTGAAGACCCCTGAATTAGAGCATCAAAACCAACCGAAACCGTAGTTTAATTAACAAACCATACAGAGTTTATTACAATATAAACTTCATGGGCTAGAGTGCACTTTGATATGCAAACCACACGAAGTTGGTGTGTGAACTACAGAAATATAGAATAAGTGTTGCCACAGTGGGTCAAAGCCACAAAATCCACAGAACGGCAGTATCTATCACATTTTCTATGCATAGCCCACATACACACACACACACAAATAAATAGATATGTATGTATATGTATACACCGGCATACACAAACAAATATTACGGTACAGTATGCTAGGATTTGTTTTGGATTGTTTCAAAGCTTTAGAGCTGTAGTACTTTGAAACACAGACCAGTCTTAAAATACAGGCCATCAGTCAGCTCTGTGTAGAAAAATGAGAGGGGTTCTTTTTTTCAGGAGCTCAGTTTACGGGCTGCAGCAAATGCATGGAGTGGATGGAAAGAAGATTTCCTGTTGCCACCATCTGAAGACAATAATGGAGCCACTTCCTGCTTTGCTTGACTAAGCAAATCCAGATGTGCTCCCTGAATAGAAGCAGCAGGAAATTTGCTGTAAACAACTACAGGCCTCAGTAAAAAGGAGGAGAGGCCTTGCTCTGCCAGTGCAGATGCTTAAGTGATAGTTCAAGAATCAGTCACAAATCAATAAATCAAGAGGGGTAAGGCTGTGAGTCACTAAAATTTATTACTCAATTATTTCAAATGAGTACGGTAAGCAGAGAGCCCAGGTGCATCAATCTCTGCAGGCTTAGAGCTAACAGTTCAGTTCAGCCAACACAAACGTCTGTTAGCAGGAAGGTTTCCAGTTGGGTGGATCTGATGCCTAAGGGCAAGCATCCTGGCTGCTGCACTATCAGCTTTATCCGGCAGAGGGGATAAGCTGATCAGCTCTTACAGCTAGGAATATACTGTATGGCCACATGGCTCTCAAATATTCCCATTTGCTACATTCAGCATAGCCAGGATAAGGGACCTCGGGGGTCTTCTAGTCCAACACCCTGCTCAACCAGGAGATCATTCCAGACAAATGGCTGTTCTTAAAAGCCTCCTCTGATGGAGCACCCACAATTTCTGAAGACAAGCCATTAAATCCACTGGTTAATTGTTCTCGCTATTAGGAAATTTCTCATTAGTTCTAGGTTGCTTCTCTCCTTGATTAGTTTCCATCCATTGTTTCTTGTCTTGCCTTCTGGTGTTTTGGAAAATTGGTCAACTCCCCTCTCCCCCATCTTCTTTGTGGCAGCCCCTCAAATATTGGAATACTGCTATCACATCACCCCGATCCTTCTTTTCACTAGACAAATCCGATTCCTGCAAACATTCTTCGTATGTTTTAGCCTCCAGCCTCCTAATCATCTTTGTTGCTCATTTCTGCACTCTTTCCAGAGTCTCCACATATTTTTATAACATGGTGACCAAAACTGGATGGAGTATTCTAAGTGTGGTCTTACCAAGGCTTTATAAAGCTGTACTACTTCATATGATCTTGATTCTATCCCTCTGTTAATGCAACCTTGGATTATGTTGGCTTTTTTGGCTGTTGCTGCATACTGCTGGCTCATATTTAAATGATTGTCCACCAGTAACTCCCTCACAGTTACTGCTGTTGAGCCAGGTTTCACCTAATCTGCACCTGTACATTTTGTTTTTCTTGCCCAAGAGTAAAATCTTACTTTTCTCTGCATTGAATTTCATTCTGTTAGACAGGGCCCAGTGTTCAAGTCTGTTGAGATCCATCTGGATCTTGAACTAGGACAAAGCTTCCTGGTAATTCAACAACTTAAGTGTCAGAATATAGGCAATGATGATGCAGCATCCATTAACTTTGGGATACTGGAGTGAATACGATACCAATGTCTGGCTAGGGTTAATGAGAATTATTGCCCAACATCTGTAGGACCACATGTAGTATGCTTCACCCTTCTGCACTAATTGCTTGAGTTGTAAAGTGTAATTTAAGAAGAATGTAAGAGAAATGAAACCAGCCAATGTCTTTAAAAATGAATTTTGTTACTGGCATCTGAGTTATTGAAGAGGATTGTAAAGTTATTCCCACTCCAGAGCTCCAGTTTTTTTTTTTTTACTGATTCTTTTAGAAGCAGGAGATAATTAACCTAAAAATGGTGGATATTAAAGGTATCAGCTTTAGGGACTGTGTTAGACCTCCCTCTTTCTTTAGTCACTGCAACCTCTTTCTTTAGTCACTGCAAACTTTGCTCCTCCTCTCCCAACTTTGTAGCTTTTCAATTTTGTGTTTACATTCTTTTATTCATGGAAGCAGTTTTATAATAATTCTGAATTCAGATCTTAACATCTGGGAGGTAAACAATGGCAGCAGAATAAATTGTGAGTGTAGATGTCTATGGAGATTCTCAGTCATCCGGGTCATAGTTATCCCAAAGATACTTTTTCACGAGGCAAGTGGACTTTCTTGTTTTTCTTTGAAGACGTTTCGTTTCTCATCCAAGAGTTTCTTCAGCTCTGAAGCTTCCCCACCCATCCAGTCAGAGCTGAAGAAGCTTCTTGGATGAGAAGCGAAACATCTTCAAAGAAAAGCAAGAAAAGTCCACTTGCCTCGTGAAAAAGAATATTTGTGAGTGTAGATACAGACTTCAGAACCATCTTTTCATGAGCCTGTTCTGGGAGAAACTAGGCTGCACCTTTTTGATACTAGACACTAGTCTTCTTCCACTCTCTCAATGGCTACCGAATTACGTACATAACATGTTCCCTACAGGTACAACAGTAAATAAATTAAACATATTATACAAGTATAATCATTATGTTCTCTTACACTCTTAAGGTTAATGGAGTATATTA